CACGCCACTCATACGCGCGCTCCCGGATTTATCTGCGGAGATTTCGAAAATAACGACTTTCACGGTCTGTTTATAAACAGAGGTGCAACGTTATATACGGCTTCAATCAAGTCTGCGTCGGTAAATGGAACGCAACACACCCATATTTTGTGTGTGATGATTTTCCTCGTTGCTTGTTGTTCGTTTCGATTGTTTAAAGCCCCCCGGGGCCCTGGTGTTGGTAGTAGTGGCGGCCCTTGGCACCTCGCCGGCGGCGCCTGCTCGCAATCCAGACGCGTGGGACTTTTGCCGAGGTAATTAACGCCTGTTCAAGTGGGGCGCCTGGCGCCTCACCGACGCCTCACCGCGGCCGCCACGAGAAGAAGAACAACTTTATATTCTTGGCGGCCACGACGCGCCGCGGGCGCCATGGCCTGCTTGCCCTTCCCTACCCTCCTCAAGAAATTGAGTCAACTGCGGATTTAAAACAATGCAATCTAGAACATTTCAAAAAAATAAAAATAAACAACAAACCTATGCAGTTTTTGTTTACAAAAATGACAAAAAATACGAATTCCGCACGACTTTGTGTATACTCACATCTTCGAGCTCGGTGTAGTCCACGTCGGTGCCGTTGGCGTGGTCGGCGACGAACACCCTGAGCTCCTTGTTGAGGAGGCCGTGCGCTGGCCGGAGCCGCAGCTGGTGCTGGCGGCCGAACGCGGACAGCTCCACGACCCGCGACACGGCCGCGGCCTCCGCCTCCGCCCCGGCCCCGGGCTGCCCCCCGCTGTCCGCCGGGGCCGCCGGCGAGGGCGGCGGGGTGCTCGTGGTCGTCGTCGTCGTTGTGGTCGTCGTGGTCCCCCCTCCCCCACCGCCGGCCAGGTCCCCGCGCTCCGGGAGCCTCGACCTCACCCGCACCACCTCGTACTCGGGCACTGCAACAAACAAGACAGGCGTTTAGGCGAGCCTTTGGTGTGTGAACAAACAATGATTTCAATTTTAGGGGATTGAATTACCACTATTTTTTTAGGGCAGCAATAAACGCAGAAATGTTTTCTGCTCGTAATGTTCAACACTGTGAAAAATACTCGTAAGTTTACAGGAACATTTTCCATGGTGTGAGTCAGTAAAATTACAACTTGAAGTAGTAAAATTACGATCACTTCCTATCGACTTGGAATTAATCGAGGAGCAAAAATGGTTCGCCTTAAATTTACAACATTACTTTGAAATTCCAAATTACAAGAAACGTCGTAACTTTAGGAGGATTTTTTTCACAGTGAACCTTAAACTCAATTCGTCTGAGAAATCTCAACCCTTCCAAAAAAGACATTTTTTTTTGTACGACCCCTGATGTCAGCTAGACACACAGAGTCAACAAGCCACAAGTTCTTTAAGTCTCTCTATTTTTTCTCTCTCCAAGATGTACATGGGAGAGAAAAGTTGGCAATGAATGAAGAAAACAGGAAGCAGCAGCGGTGGGCGGCCACCTCGCTCGCCACGCGGTCACCGCCAGGGGCCAGGGGGCGGTGCATCGACCCCCGTGTGAACTCTGACAATGGCGTGTCAATGACGTGCCAATAATGACGCGCCAACGGCATGGAGCCGCCGCTGCCAAGCGCTGCCAAGCAGGGGCTCCTCTTGCAAGGCCACGACAATATCGAATGCACCGTCGGCCGCCCCCGGCGTGACAGACAGCGGGAGAAAGAGAAAAGACGACAGACGGTATAGAAAGAGAGAGATAGAGGGGGGTGGGGGGCACCCTCGAGTCTGATGAGCAGCATTCACGAGCGCGGTGCGCTCTGATTGGATGGATTGTCTCTCTAATTAGCACCTCGCAGCTTCTTTCCGGCCAATAGGAATGTGTGCGCCGGTGGCGGTGGAACTCGAAAACGCGAAAACGAACCGGAGGGAACCTTGAGAGGCAGAGCGGGCTCGGCTAACATTGACTTTGTCCGCGGGGTCGGGAGGAGGTTCTCAAGAGTTTGCTCTGGCGGCCGTGCGCCGGGAGAAGGCATTAACTGCTAGGCACGACCTGCCGCCGGGGTCGGACCAGACCGGCACACAAACGGATTCGAAGAAAGAAGATAAAAGAGATGCGGGGACAGTCAGGGAATCGTTTCAGAATTTACTTGTTTTCCTGTTAAGGAACTCTTCACGCGCGAACGCCGTGGAGATAGGCAAAAGGACTGACTCGCGAGACACGCGAGGGTAGCGGGTTGCCTATCCACCGCACGGCAGGCGCGCTCCGAGTATCGGAATCGGATCACCGTAGGCAACCAATCCAATCAACGAGACATCCGAGGTGACCGGGTTGCCTATCCACCGCAGGGTAGGCGCAATTGGAGAGGGGTCAGCATAGGCAGCCAACCCGACCAACGAGACATCCGAGATGACCCGGTTGCCTACCCTCCGCACGGCAGGCGCCCGCGGTGGGCTCCGTGCAGAGCTGGACAGCCAAGTAGGCATGGCACAACGGACAACACGGAAAGGTCACTACGACGTCGTCACATATATTGAAGAGTTCAGGTGAAAACGACGTTTTAAATACATATATTATGATGAAGTTTTTGAGGGGGGAGGGGGAGGCAAGAAGTGATTGGTACGAACCTTCATCGTGGCTCTCAACCTGGAACAGCTGTCTTAGGTCGTCCACGCTCATGCGCCTGTGAATCTGCAAAAAACAGAGAGAAGGAGCTCGATTAGTGATTTGCGAATGAAGAGTGGAACAAGAACAAACTTTACGACAAAAGGGGAAGGGAGCAGGTCGAGTCGGCAGACAGGCTCCAGGGGGGTCCAGGGGGAGGAGGAGGAGCAGAGCTCGTTGAGAGATGAGGCAAGGCGCACCGCTCCTCTGGTCTGGCGAGTGGCGCTGCGCTGGCGGCCGGGTGGACTCTGCATATGGTAATGCAGTGCCGCCGCCTGCATGCCACCCAAGTGTGTTAAAAGGCCAGACATCCTGTTAAATAATGCCCTATTCGGCGTGCCGAACAATGTTGTAACTCGCCGCGCCACCTTCACGACTGATGCCGGCGCTGAGCAAGAGCATGCACGCTAAATGATCTCCTGTCTCTCTCTTTCTCTCTCTTGTCTGTCTCGTCCTCTCTGTCCCGCGCGCTCCAGGCCGACACTGTGCAGTTTTTTTATGATAAAATAAAATACATATGTGATTTTTTTTAAAGCGACTGGTGCAGATGTGTTTGGAAAGGCCACGCTTCCGGGTTTGCGGGTCGTCGAGCCGCGACGGAGTGAGCAGAAGCCTCGAGCCGCGTGAGGGACAGAGAAAGACGATAGTAAGGCGAGCGGGGGTGGTCGGTCGCGACGCTGCTGCACCCGCAAGTGCGAGGAAGAGAGAGGGAGAGCACTTTGTGGTGTAACAGAGCCGCCCAGTGGCGCACGCGATGGCACCTTAGGGATGGCAAGCAAGCACACACACGGCCACGGCCATGTAACTACGTGAGTGGCCCGTTGACACCCACCTGCATGCTGTGAGTGAGTGCCCTCTTCTCTCTCTCTCTCTATCTCTCTCTATCTCTCTCTCTCTCTCTCTCTCTCTCTCTCTCTCTCTCTCTCTCTCTCTCTCTCTCTTTCTTCCCTCTCTCGCTCTCCCATTCTCTCTCTCCTCTCTCTCCCTTCCCCCTCCGTTTTTCGCTTTCAGGCGCATCATGCATTTGGTGTGTTCACCGATGCACCCCTTTCGGCACTGTCATGACGTCACTCGCCCCCTCCTCTCCCCTTTTCTCTCCCGATCGGTTAAGGGGGGTAATTTGAGCAGACACTTTCGCCACGACGGTATAATCTGCCAACGGCGTGGACACGACTCAGCTCACGTTGCAGTGGCATTGCTCTATGCTCCACGTGCATGCGCGAATGTGTGTGTGTGTGCCCGGGGGTATCGAATGGGTGGCCCTGGGGCGCGCGCGGTGCGGTGCGCCCGGGGGGGGGGGGGGGGAGATGGAGGAGGGGCAACGAACACGCAGACACAGAAAGCAGCACCCATTTGGCAGGCCATGTGTATAGTAGTGGTTGGCATTTATCTTCCTCTACACATATTTATTAATACCCGCGCTGACTTTTGAAAAAAAAAAACGAAACTGAAATGGCGCACACGATGAAAGGCTTTAAACTCCCCCTCTCCCTCCCTCCCCTGCGCACACGCTCTCACACACACACACACACACAGAGAGTCCCCCTCTGTCGCACCTCTCTCCCCTTGGCTCACACACGCGCGTTCCAAACACTGTTGTTATGGTCAGGCAGCAGTACTCGGGCTTGCGCCGCTTGCGCAAAGCTCCCTCGCAGAGCTCAGCGGCGCGCCAGACGAGTTCAATTAAAAGCCCGCTTGACCACGCCGGCCCCGGCCCGGCCACCACGGCGTGGCCATAATGCGATAACCTTATTTCAACAACAAAGTCCATCTCATCCGTTATGGAACAATGCAGGCCCGGGGGTTGTGTTTTTAGCACGACGATATGGCGGCTCTGGTCTTATGGCCGAGCGGGGCGCGAATCAAAGCGGTCCATCGGTGGGGCAATAGCGAAATACTAGCGGCTTAACACGGTTCAAACGTTAATATGAGGTAAGGGAGAGCAAAGAAAACATGGGGAGAGGAGCGAAAGCGCGTCGTGGGAGGAGAAACATTTTTTTACCTCAAAGTTTTACAGCCAATAAGAAGGAATGATATTTGATGTTGCTATGATGTTTACTTGTTGTTTTTTTCTTTGTTGTTCTTCCCGCACTTCTCGCGTCCTTGACGCGGTGCGAATCAAATGACGCTGCGCGATTTCAGTAGCAGAGAGTGAGTGAGTGAGCAAGTGAGTGAGAAAGACAGAGAGACAGGGGGGGGGGGGAGGTTGCAAACTGCAATCCCGCACGGAACAGGAAGGCCCGACAATAGCCTGGGTCCTGGCGGGCGCGCCCGGGCGAGCTAGGCCAGCTCATGAACGTATCGCGCCGAACCGGCGGCGGGTGGCGGGCTATTGTCGGTCTCTCGGGAGTCATCGATAGCCAAATAAGCTGTCCTTCGCGGACCACCAGCGCTGCGGCGGGAGCGGCGACCCGCCGCCGCCACCTGCAGATTGTCCCGAGGGGCGCGCGGTTCGCGCAAATTACGTCACTTTAAAGTAACATATGGAATTGTAAAAAAAAAAAAATGTACCAAAAGTTAGCATCATCATAGTGAGAATACTTTTGTTTTGGTTAGGACTTTCAATAATCTATATTTAGAAAATAAGGAGGGTTCAAATAAGGTGGGGTGAAATGTCTCGTTTAAAAAAAATAAGGATGACCTTCGTAATACGACCTTCTTAGAGAAAGATAAACAATTAAAACCACAGAGTAGCGCTGCACGGACCCTTCCCTTCATATAGCACGGAGTGAATAATTTATTACACTGTACCGACAATAACATACCGGTGTTTACGAGTGATAAAATTATCAACGGCGTATATCGTGTACATGGACTATGATAGGATGGGAATTAGCACGTCTTATACGGGGCCAGGAAAAGGCGCAACATCCTCGTATGCAAAAAAGGGGCGTGCAAAAAAAGGCGCCCCATCGCGATAGCGATAGAGTAAATCATTCGTATGAGACACTGGGTTGAGGAGCAGGGGGGGGGGGGGGGGGGCTCGACCGCGCCAGCGTGTGCGGCTAGGACAAGAGATAAAAAGACGAAAACAAAGAAGAATTGATAATGAATGCTCGGGGAAAATATGAACAAAGAAGTAAGTGGGAGAGGGAGATGAATAAATAGAGTGACCAGACTGTGGCTGATACGCAGATGAGGGCTGATTTGTATGCCTCTTCCTGCCGGCGGGCCCGGCCGGCGGGCGAGCGTGCATGACCGACTGGTCACCCCGTGCCTATCAGAAGGAGGACTTCCTGAGAGTTAGTAGTTAGCAGCGCCCCCCCGGACCAGTTGTGCAATGATCTGACTGATCGTTTCGGCCCGAGTGGCGTGGTGCAGCGCGGCGCAGGGCCGGGCGGGGCGACATGGGGGTACGGCGACACCCGTCACCTTTCCCTTCCTGGGCCGTTCAGGACGGCGGGGCTGGTCTCCAGGACCAGGACGTAGGACCGTCCCCTGGCAGGATGGGTTGCTCGGCTCGATCACAATGCAAGGAAGGAAGTTCGGCCCGCCCACCCCACGACGTCAGCACGGGCAGGCAGCCGTAGGCAGCCGGGGGGTAACTGGGCGTGACAGCCGGGTCACCCGGGGCTCTGGGACCCGGACCAGGTCTTCCGTCCGGGCCGGCGTCTTTTGAGAGGAGCAAGCATTTCAAGCAAATCGAGACGGGCGAAGCTAGTGTTACGTATACTACTTTTGCGATGCTGATTTTTTTTTGAGCGAGCAAAATAACCAGAAGAAAGCACGGTGCCGATGCCCCGAGCATGTTGCTTCATTTTTTCTGAAAGTTTCTGGATTAGACTTTCAATTTGCGCTTTTTGGAGAGAGACGCACGCAGGTCAACCGGGCAGGGAGACGGGAAAGGGGAGTGGTGGAGGGCTCCGCCCATACTGTCCGCGGGGAGCGTTGCCTGGAATACGAATAGCCGAGCGAAAGAGTTTGGGAGGCGATCGCACACTACACGCACACGTTTTGGTATGCACCACGTCTCTATCCCGTGGGGCGCCCCCGGGGGCCTGGAAATTACACTGTCAGGTATCAAAGGTTGGGGCGTAAATAATCATTACGGGGAAAAATCGGTCGCCTCTTTACTTCTCTTGTTTCGCTTCTCACACGCCCCGCCGGCCGGGCGTGACGGGGCATCATTTACGCACTACACGCTGTTATTATTATGGCCTGACATTTACAATTCCCCGGCGAAAACGTTTCGCAACCCTTCTCTCCCGCCGCCCCTCCCGGGCCGGGCCGGCCGGACCCACCACTGCGACTACTGCGTTGTTGCCGCTACCTAAATCGCACGGCAGCACAGCAAGACTGCAAAGTGCTACAACATCACACCGGCGGGCGGCGTTGTCAATTCTCTTATCTCTCCCCGTGAGCAAAGCTTTGTTAACGTCATTCTTTTATTGTATATCTTTGCAACTCTTGAGAGCGTCGTCAGTTGACATGACAGACCCCCTCCCGTGCCCCGCTCATCCCCGCCTCGCAAAGCCGGTTATTTGTAACGTGGTACCCGCCCACTCAGCAGTCGCAAAAAAGTTCCTCGACCTCACGTGGGCTTTAATTCTTTTTAATCTCTTTTCTGGGCGTCCGACTGAGTCGAGTTCTGCTCCAAACGCAGCAGCAGCTGCCCCTTGACCAGAGGCACACACGACGACGGGACCTGCCTAAAAGAGGGAGAGAGACAGATGAGCTGCTTCGGTGAGAGGTGTAGGGGCAGAGCAAGGGGTGAGAG